GTTTTGGATTTTGGTTTTATATGGGGTTACATTATATTTTAACAGATGCATTTCAAACAAATGAGCTATGTGTGTATCATGCTTTGTATATTTGTAATCTGTATGGATTGTTGTGTACTGTTGAAAAATATGCAATATTTTTTTTCTAAGAAATGTTTTTTGCTTATTGCCTTACTGCTTTTAATAATGTACAATATTAAGGTTGCTAAAACGCTTTTATTTATTTTAACAAAGCAGCTTATAGTTGACCAAAGCTTTTTTTTTAAATCTGTTATTAATCTAAATATCTGGTTTTATCATAGATTTCATCATAGTTTTGTTTAATTTATTGAATCACCACTGCATATAGTGGATAAAGCTTTCATTTAAACAAAAATCATGTTAAATCAACATGAGGTACCGTGACATAAAAAGCAAAAAAACAACATAAAAAATCATGTTAATTTGACAAACGTAAGTTGGGTAACATAAACGGAGATAAATTATGTTGAGAGAACATAACATAAATATGTCCAACTGATGTACATATTTTTTATGTTAATCCAACAGATTTTTTTCTTCAGTGAGGAGTCTGTTGTAACTTGAGAGTTAAAAGATTAAAGTATTGTTTTTCTATCAATTAAAGCAATCTTCCCCATGTGCCCTTTTCATTCATGCATTATAGAATAAAATAGAGCAATCCACACATAGATACAGACAGACACAGAAACATCCAGCAGCAACAGGGACACCTGGTGAATTTTCATAATGCACCACACCTGCAGTATATATGACACTCATAATATCTCACCTGCGCTCAACAGAAGAGTCTTCCTCTCTGCAGAGATCTGAAAGATCCATCGGTTGGTTTTTCTTCACAGACACATCAATGTGTTCAGCTAAATCTGACTCACCCTCCTGAATCAGACTATAAATGAAAGTGTTATTGTAGTAGGCATTTATTCTTTCTGAACATTAAAAATGTGAAACATTTCAAGTTCTCTCACCACTTGACTGTTTTTATCTGTGTGTCATGTTCTTCAAAGAGATTCATTCTGAAGGCCATGGTTTCATCTAAAAGCAGATACAGATGTTGATCCACAGAGTGAGTTATGAATCATCTCAGCAATTAATTTTCTCAAATCCACCTCTGACTCAAGTCAGTCCACAAAAATGACCTGCACACATGAAAAACAATTTCATCCTGATATTATTAACACAGAATCAAATTATTCACAAACTGCGTAACAAATTCAGACAAGGACTGTGTTAAAATGAAAGTAAAAGTGGAATCTGATGATTTACAGACTCTGTGTTTTCTCTCCTAATGTCATTTTAACTACTTTCAAAATATCTGATGCTGCGTATTGTTGTACTTCACCTTAAACCAGTCTGGATTGATTTTGGCTATCAAATATGATTTTAATATCGTGATACTCACTGTGTTTTTCACTTAATGTAGTTTACTTCCTCATTTGACAAAACAGATCCTGCTGCAATAGTTTCACTTTCATGTGTCACCTGACAAGGAGGAGTTTGAGTCTCTTAATATTAAATTTCATTCTTTATTATTTAAAGTTATAACCCATTAATGTATTTTCCTCACAGGTGTACTCTGAGTGTTGTTTAACTGAATATATAAAGTCAGCTCTCTGTAAAATATCAAACTTATGGCTCTCTATCAACTTCCTCATCACTTGCTCCCCTACAGGATACGAGAGGAATATTTTAACAGTGTCAATAATGCAGTTATTTTCTTTAGTAACGTGAGAAGCAAAGAAAGCAATAATAATCTGGCTATAAGTTAAAAATGAAACTATTTCAAAAAGTTACACAAATAAAACCTATCAAAAACCAGGATATAAGTGTAATAAAAAGGTTGCTGGTTACTCTTTACAGATTCCCATCTGCTAGATTGCTACTATCACTATTGACAATATAACACAGACTTTACAGTGAACTACAACAAAATCCAAATTAATGACCAGAAACAAGTTTATTTAAATACAGTACAGTTTCTAATACAGTCTCTCAGTGCAGCACCTTATAATTACAGTGAACCAAAAACAAGTTCAACAGCACAAATAAAACCAACAAGAATTAAAAAAAAACTCTACAGCACGATCTATTCATGCTGCATTGCATGCTGGGAGCCTTCATAGTACATATGCACTGTAGAAACACATTATGATGCTGTTTGTTTACAAGTAATTTCTGAGAGTGCAGTTAGATACAAGAGAAATCCAACTGTGAAATTACTGTGAAAGTCATGTAATTATTAACCTGGAATATACTGTCATTTCACACTAACATTTTTAACAGTGTATGTAATTTAAGAAAACAGAAAAATACTGTATAAACATGCAGTAATATTTCTCTATAAAAAATGTGAATTACTGTAATTTGTCATTAATGTCATAATACTTAAAACAATACTTAAAATAACAGCCAAGTAGTTAATTTAGAGATAATTTTACAAAGATCTGACTACAATTTACACTGTTAAAAATGGGAAAAACATTGAGTTGTTTACCCAATATCTCAGCAAACACGTTAATGTGGGGCCCACATGGGTTTCACATGAGCTACAGGGGAACAGAGTGGGCATGGGCTCAAAATGGGCAACTTCTCTGGGGCCCACCCAGCTACACTGTAAATAGGTTGCTGTAAATTTTACAGTAACTTACTGGCAGCTGGATAGAGTACTGTAGAGTTTTTTTTACATTTAGTTTAAACATTTTTTACCTGTAAAAATCAATCCAATTGTGGTACTGCACTGTAAACCATGATTTTTACCATCCCAGCCCCCTCCCAAAAAATCACAATAACTCATGAGCTTTAGTTCTGATAATATTATTTTTAATTGTTGAATATTTTCTTTTTAAAAGTACAAATTACAAATCTTGACCTCTTAGATGCACTAGCTTAAAAAAGCGCATCACCACAGTCCCCTGGGGACTTTGTATCATGGAAAAACACACATACTGAAAAGCAAAAATTGGCAAGTACACTACCAGTCAAAAGTTTTTGAACAGTAAGATTTTTAATGTTTTTAAAGTCCCTTCTGCTCACCAAGCCTGCATTTATTTGATCCGAAATACAGAAAAAGCAGTAATATTGTGATATTTTACTACTTAAAATAACAGCTTTCTATTTG